AGATTTTAGATTTTTTTTTAGACCCCACAAAGACCATGTGAATGTTTCATTATTTGATGTAGAAGGATGAAAAGCTGACTGTTGTACTCTTGGAGCAGCAGATGGAAGCAGGCTGCAGCTGAGCTTGGTAAAGGAGGTCTAAGTGTCACAAAACACAGTAAGAACTTCAACAAGGAACCTACAAGCGCATGTACTATCATATGCGTTTTCAGAGGGAGAATCAAAGATAGAGACACACGTGAACATTTTGCTGCATGCTCCTTCCTCAGGGCTGAGCAGCAAACACAGGAAGTTCAGTTCACACTTCACCGACTTCAGCTAGCTGGCCAATAGAATGCCATCAACGCTGTTTATCAAGAGTTCAATCTTTGGCACGGTTTTAGAGCATGTTGCCAGCTGTGGAGCAAAGTTTGAAGCATGGTTGTTGTTGCATAAGCTACGTCTTTTTATGTTTTCTGACCATGGTTTTGACTTTAACATTTAAGAAGAAGTCTTATTAGACACGAGGCAGAAGGAGACTTCTCAGAAACACTTATCTAGAGGTGTTGAGAAACAAATTAGAGGAACTGGGAGGATTGCACGTGTTCCATAAAAAGCCATGATTCAAATTAGAAAAGAACATTGAAGATCCTTACCCCAAGAAATACATTTCCGATAAATTGGTAAATGTCTGCCCACTCAGTTTTCCATGTGTAAATTTCCCCACCTCATATCTTTGTTATCATCCCTAAGATCAGTGACGTGCTGCAAGTAGCTTGCGGGCAACAAGAGTTGAAAGAAGATGTGGGTTGTCTTTTTCAATGTTCAGCTTTGATCAGAATTTAGGGGGGGGGGGTTGTTTGATGTTTGATGACTTAAAGTAATCATTTCTACAGTGAAATGGTATTTCTCATGACTTCCTGTGTTTACGAAACATGCAAGGTTCATTTTATAGGAACACTATCAAACACTGATTTTTTAATCTGAGTAAGATTGATAAAAGGTCGATAAGTGGTAAAGTGGTTGACTCACAGCAAAGTATGCCTTTAGTCGAGATCTCAGTTTAGCCAGGGCCTTTGTGCATGGAGTTTGAATGTTCTCGCTGTGTTTGTGCAGGTTTTCTCTGGACACTGCACAGTCCAAAGACATGCAGACTGGGGTTAAGTTAAATGAAGACTTAGGTGTAAATGTGTGTCTCTGTATGTCAGGCCTGTGATACTCTGGCGACCAGTCCATGGTGTAACCCCTCCTCAATGTCAGCTGGGATAGGCTCTGGCCCCTCCGCAACTCTCGAAGGAAAAGTTATATGGAATTATTAAAAGAAGACATCTTTACAAATATTATGACTAAAATCACGAAAGTGAGGTGGTGTCAAAATGAAAATCGAATCTCTGGTGACTTCCAAACTGTCACATGTGACTGTGTATGAATGGTCCTGATAATGAAAGCAACATACGGGCTGGGGGTTGGGTGTGTTTAAATCCAAACCTAACCTTGATCAATTATGT